GAACTCCTGGGTGGAGCAGGTTTACAGACAAAGAAGTTTATTTCCTACTCTAAGTGTGTTGTTCTTTCAGCAAGCTGCCTTTTTCTGAGTCTGTATAGGCCAGTTAACAGTTAATTGATTACTAATTTAATTGAAGATTATCTCAATAATCAGTTAATCACGATTAAGCTGATTAATCTGCTTTTATCAGTGTGTTTCTCTTCCTGTTGCTGCAGCAGGTAGAGTTGTTTGTCTAAACTGATAGTTGTTGTGTCTGTATGATCAGCCGTCTGTGTGACGGTCCGATCGTTTTTTGTTTTTTTATGATAAATGCGCTGCGTCTGAATCTGTTCTGCTCTTTGCTCCGATCATCGGCGCTCACACACCGCAGTCTCAGAGGGGATCATTTGAGGCCCTTGGCTCCTCACCTAAATTACATTACCTGCTAGATTACAGCAATTTTCCAGCTGTTGGCCTCCTCTGACCTTCATTACTGCGTCGCTTCCCTAAAGTCTTCTGGAGAGCGAGCTCCATATTCAATCTAAGCTCTTGTTCTTGACCCTGAACGCCCCACTCTGGCTGTTAATAATGATCACGATGATTTGTATTCACCTAGAGTTATTCCTGGTCCTGTTGCGACCAATGTTACTACAGATGCAATAAAATAACTTCTCAATCATCTGGTGGAAACAAAGTATCTTCTGCCTCCTGATTCAACAGTCCCATATGAACGTTTTGGACTGTTTCACTCATTAAAACTAGAATCTGTCATAATTTCTGGCTCATTTTGTGTCTAGTTATGCAGAACTATTTCTTTGTTTATTTGTCATTACTTTTTATCATTGTCCTGCTATGACCAACTGTTGAACTATTTTGACTTTGCTAACTGAGTGAAGTTAAACTTAGTTACATTTTATAGTAAAAATGTCATTATGTCATATAGTCTAACAAGGTTTCCATCATTTTTGTTTAATTTATTTCTTGTCTATTCCATGTTCAATAAAGGCCACTGGAGCCTAAATGAATCGTTAAAAAATAAACTCAAATCTCATGTGTTTTTAAGGGCTTCCAATATCTGCAGTGATTATGTTAAAAACGCAAAATAAATTAACTCAAGTTGAAGTGACGTGTAAAAAAATTAATTTGAGCTTATTATATTGTCTTAGTAAAGGATTCATTTATTTTATAGCTTTTCCACACCTTTACAAGTAAAGGTAAAGATAAAGAACACTCTGGTCTTAGCGCTGTCAATCATGCTTGTGTTTTCGCCTACTGCTCTATGTGCTAATGGAGGAGAAACAATTCAAACCATTTATCATCTGTGGCCATGCTAATTAGCATTAGCATTCGTGGCAGGCTATGTTGTGGTGAACCAGCTGTAGCTTAGCACAAGAGTGATTGACAGCGCTAAGACCCTCCTCCTTGCTCTGATTGTTTTTTTCTGTCTGAACTGAGTATTTCTGCAGTTAGCACTGGGAAAAGGTAGAGGAGCTTCATTTATTTCACAGATTATCTGTCTGACAGTCACAATTTAATGATGATTTTAACAAATATGTTAAAAAAAACAACTTTTTTTTGTATAAAAGTTACATACTGTAACTTTAAAGCCTCCCAGGTGAAAGCGCTCAGCAGATTGATTTAAAGTGATGTCCTGGAAGATATTTGATACTTTACAGTTAAAGCTTTCTTAGTCAGTCGATAGATTGGAAACATGTAGCTCAGTAACTCAATAAAAGGCTGGACTGCTGAGACTTTTACTAAAATGAACTCCCAGTGATGCACACAAGCATTCTTGAAATAAAATCTGAACCGCGACAGTGAAAGTAGAAAGTTTGTCTCCCGTAACAGAGCAAGCCATGCACATGCACCAAACCCAGATGGTAACAGTCTGACAGCCTCTTAAGGAGATGAAGCTTGTGCATAAACTGATGGTGTAATCCCAGACTCCCTCTGCAGAGCTGCCAGCCTAATGCAACAGCAAGTCTTACAGAATCTGTGGCTCAAACCATCTGCTGCCCCTCATCGGGAGGAAGCGACACGCTGAGCCAAAAGGAAACCAGTGATTGGACGTCTCTCTTCTGAACTTATCTGTGATAATTAAATTCTGTTCAGGCGTCGGATTGTCTTGGGGCAGAGCAAATGAAAGGTGTTAATGTTCCCTGCTTGATTTAAAGTGAGACAACAACACATCAATGTATCAAATATGTTACTAAAAGTCAGAGATGAGATTCGGGTTTTGGACGTTTCGCCATTACAGTAAAATCAGTTAATACAGATACTGTTACATTGTTAATTGTGATATTTTTTCTTTCTGGAATCAAAATATAAAATAATTCATTCGTTTGGTTATACTTTTAGTTTCATGCTACCTATCTGCAGTGCATGCTCACCAGTCAGACATGGTTTATGAACAATTTTGATTTTGGTTTGGTTTTAATAATCAAACCATTCGTTTGGTTCATTTCCTCTCATATCACTGAATGAAGGGTTTTCATATACTGACCAGAGGAACATCCAGGTAGAACATACAGATGTTCTACTTGTATCATGTTCTACCTGAGGCATGTAGAACATCCAGGAGGCATTGGTACGTCTGGATCTATGTTTAGAAATCTCGTCTTTCTCTGTGGTTGCGAAGGGCATCGGAAACTTTAGGTGGTGAGTTGCAGTCAGGAGTTTCAGTTGCTAAATGTGGATTCAAACCCAGTTCTGTTTAGTCCACTTTAATCAAACTCTAGTATGTTTGTGTAATAAGTTAAAGTGTGAAAGCGAACTGCACCGCCTGAAAATGCAACAAATGTTACAGCTTTGGTCCCAAGTGGAGCCGTGTCTACTGGACTATGATGTGTTGAAACACCCTACATCATCCTGAAATCTCCTCTGTTTAGCCTGATGAAATACTACACTGACTCTGAGATGCACATTGATTTTTTTCTTTTTCATTTTTCCTCTTTGGTTGACAGAAATCTTGACTTCATCTCGACCATTCAGAGCCCTTGTTTTGTTTTTATTTTTGAAGCCCCTCCTGGTGTACATTGTCCTGTTACATGTTGCAGTTTAGACAGACAGGATGCCGTTTCACTCTGGAGTACTTTGATTATCAGAGAAATTCAAGGTTGGGTCAACGACTACAGACCCTCAGTGTCAGCCACCCAGCCTCTGAACTCCAGAGTCAGATTGAAGTGTTTGTGCTGGTATGGTGTTGTGGTCAAACACCTCAACATTGCCGTTGTTGGATGCAACTTAAATCACACTTCCATAATCTTTTTTGAAGGAAGAGGCCTTCCCATTCCTAACAAGTTGCATTTATTCAGTCTTGTTCTGATCCTGCTGCCTGTAGGATGCATGGTGGAGCGTTTTTCTATTTCTCTGACCTTTGCATGGTGTGGCCCTGGGGTGAATTTGCTGCTCTCTCCACATCTTTGAAGATTGACAGCCATCTTAAACGGTCTCCAGTTTGATTAATTTTTCTCTCTGCAGACTTTAAATTGCCTGATAATGGCCTGATAACCCTTCCCAGACTGATAGACAGCTGCGATTGTTCCTCTGAGATAAACGGGCGACAACTTTTTCGGAGTCAGAGCTGGACTCTGGCTGCAGGGATTCAAAGGAAAGCTGTCTTATCTCCTGGTAGCAGCATTTTTTTTCTTATGTGCTTCTTGTCTCTTTGCTTGGCTGCTGCGCCATCCACCCAGCTACAAGATGTGATGACCAGGTAGGACGAGTCCTGACTGACGGACAGGATTGCTATGCAAGGGCTGCAGGGATTTAGCCGGGCATTAAAGAGAAAGACCAGAGAATTGAGAGAACAGCACACAATGATTGATGAAGCTCCGCTTGAGGCTGAGGTTGCTTTTAAATCTCAGGAGAAAACGAATCCTGGCGTTTTCTCAAAGGTCTGATGATTTTGCAACAGAATTTTTCATCCCATTGGGAAAGCTGTCCTCGTCAGTCAATGTGACCACCTCAGTCACTTTGTATTTCAACATAGCAAATCATTTACTGAGAGAGTAAAGCAAAATAACAAAAATTAATAGAAGAGAATAAAAATAGCAATGTACCAATTAACGGCGCCGATTTCCTCCTGAATTTTGAGAGATCGGTGATCGGCCGATACTTACGTGTGAAGCCGAGATTATTCTTCGAGCTCATCTACCTCAGCAAAGGACTAAAAATCAGACTCTGTGCTCTTTTGCTCTGCTGTGAGAGGCCGTCAGGTCATGTCTGCACGTTTGCTATTAGTCACCTATAACTAGGTGAATCAGTGACTTTCTTGCTATATTTGGCGACATTTCAGACAAAAAAATTGGTACTGGCCAAAATCTGATCTTTTTAAATATCAGTAATCGGCTATATTTGTAGGCGAATACACGCCTGTAAATATCCTTTGTCTGCCAGTGGGGAAAAAAAATCTGGTGTATAGCATATTAAAGCAGAAATTATGAATAGGTCTAACTTATAGCACAGGAAAAAAATACTGTGCAGTTATTAAAAGTAGCAGGGGTGCGCCGATAAATTGACTCTTATTTCCTTAATTTTGGATGTCTGTCGTTCGGCCGATAGTTGCATGCGAAACCGATCTTATCCTTGTATTGCAATTCTATAATTGCACCGCTTAGCACATCGGAGCAGCTCTGTTACTGTCATTGAGATTTTTTCTTTGTTTTTCTCCAAATTTTCATTCTTGTGTTTCTGGTGGAAAATTGCTTTATTTGAAAACCGTTCTTCTTGTTTTGGATGCTGTGCAGCTGAACTGACTTTTCTTGAATTAATATGAGTTACCTTTAATTTCCCTTTGGGAACAATAAAGTGTTTTTGAATCCACCGATCCACCTCAGCCACTGTTTCCTTTTAATCTGAAGTGGTGTGAATACAAGGAACTGTATGAAGACTTCCCAGAACCGTTCAATAACACTGTGAACAAGGCAGAAGTTTTAATGTATGCTTCATTTCCTTTCTCCTCTTTGATGAATCTGAACATGTCTCTCCTCCTGTGCCGTCATCGTCCTGCCGCCTTGCAGAAGAAGAGCAGAGAGGAGAGCTGCGGTGAGGGCAGCGGAGTGGAGATCCTGGAGAACAAGCCTTACGAGGACGGCCCGGGAGGGTCGGGTCAGTACACTCACAAGGTCTATCACATCGGCAAACACATCCCGTCCTGGTTCTGTGCCATCCTCCCTCAGGCCGCCCTTCGTGTGGAGGAGGAGTCCTGGAATGCTTACCCCTATACACGAACCCGGTGAGGAAACACCGCGCAAAGGCAGCGCGACGCTGTCACACGTACATGCTAACATCATGTATGCTAACACCACAGTGCAACAGCAAATTAAGGCCACTGCAGATATAAAAAAAAATAGCATTAAATTTATATATATATATACATATATATATATATATATATATATATGTATATATATATATATATATATATATATATATATATATATAAAACATACATTTTGAGATTAATCTCAGAAATTTTCTAGGAAAAACTTGGAAATTTCAAAACAATTTTTCTTTTTTTACTTTTGGAAATGTTCTCAGTTTCAACAACTGGTTAGCATTTTAAATTTTTGAAATTTCCATTTTCTAGAACATTTCTGAGACTTCACCTCAAGTTCTTAACTTGGGGGAGTAGGGAAGACACTAACAAGAAAGAGTCAAGTTTCAGATGGCTTAATTGAAACATGACTCCCATCCATTAGTGAAACAAACGGCGCTGACGTCTTCAGCAACTCCCACTTTGATAGATCATATTCATCAGTATTCAGCTTCCCAGAATTTCAGGAACTCCTGATCTTCCATGGAAGTTCCAAGGAACTTCCATGGAACTTCCATGGAACTTCCAGCAGACTCAACTTCCATGTTGAGTCTGCTGCTGACACCTTTCTGCAGGGCCTGATTACATAAAACAACCCTTCTTCAGAAATGTGAACTGCGGATGATAACATTAGCACTGGGGAAGTCTGTACTGCTGCATCATGTTTAGCATTGAGATGCTATTTTAGGCTTGAAAAGCTTCTCTGACAGGCTAACTTCTTTTAGCACAAGTTACAACACAACAATAGTTTTTTCCAGAGTCCCACCAGATTGTTTTTTGAAACAAAAATGACCAGAAACACGCAAATACAAAAGCTCTGACTCAGGACTTTTTTATTCTAAAACAAAAAAGTGATTAACTGCGCAGCAATTTTGAACTCATTAAGTCTATGTAATTAATTAATTGAAATTAACATTTCAATCGAGTAAACATGAATGTGTGGCATAGCAAATTGCAGTATTTGACAACTCCCAGATCCATGAAGGCTTACTCGATATATCTTTGTTTCACTAAATGCATTTCAGAACTTTTTCCAGAAAACAATTGAAGAAAGAATAAAGTTTATCTGGTTCAAGCAACAAACTTCAGGACAGTCACTCACAAAAGTAACAAATAGAGAAAGTTTAGTTTTCTGCGTATTTCACAGATTGAGTTTATGTTTGGGATTTGGTTTCCGTCCTAATAGACCGCTCCTCTTGTTTCCCAGGTATACTTGTCCATTTGTTGAGAAATTCTCCATAGACATTGAGACGTATTACAAACCAGACACTGGAAATCAAGCAGATGTCTTCAATCTATCCTCTGCTGAAAAGAGACAGAGGACTGTCGGTGAGTTTATTTATCTATCTAAATGCCCGTTCTCCAGGTCATTACTCTCGAATTGTTCCTTTGGGATCCTCTGTGTGATTGTCATCCCCTTAATAAACAGGAACCAAATCGGCACAGCGATATTTGCGGTGGAAGCTGCGGCATGCTGTAACAGGGGCACACAGGTTGAGGAGTGTAAGAGCCGGGGTTGAGGCTCTGCATACTAAAATTCACTGGGGAGCAGAAGAAATGTTGAGTCTGCTGCTGACACCTTTCTGCAGGGCCTGATTACATAAGAGACAGAAAATTACATATTTTTCTTCTGGCAGCTCGTTATTGGTTCTGGTTATATCTGCAGCTCGGATCTGCCTTGGTCTAACAATCCATTGTGTTTTCCGCAATCCAGATCCTATAGACATTGTCAAGGACTACATCCCTCCCCATGAATACCTGGTGGAAGAAGACCCCAAGCTGTACCAGTCAATCAAAACCAGACGGGGCCCGTTGTCAGAGGACTGGATCGAGGAGATCAACCACAACCCTGGTCAGACCGTCGTCATGTGCGCCTACAAGCTCTGCAAGGTGGAGTTCAGATACTGGGGCATGCAGTCCAAGATCGAGCGCTTCATACACGACGTAGGTAAGTATTTGGGTTCTGGTGTCAGAGTCTTTATCCTCAACTCATAGATTACATGAGCAGAAAAAGCAAAATGTAAAAAAAAAGTTATTTTAATATTGAAAAAACTTAAAACTCATGGAGGTTGATGGTAAAAAAAAGGTATATGTATTACAAGTGGGCTTATTATTCAAAGCTTAAACACTTCTAGTAGCCATGCACAACCTTGTAAGTGCTCAAAAAGTGATGTAGCTAACAGTGAGCACCCTCAGGAAAATAATCTTTACGTTCAAGATAAATAGCCTCTGAGCTGAAGATAGTAAGTTCTGGAAAATAACAATAAATTTCCACAAGCTGATCTATAAGTGATCCATATGTTTTGGACACTAACTTCTCCAAAACATATAGTCAGTGTCCAGTTCTTCAATTAATCTTAAAGTTCTGGGGAAGTGCCATGTAAATTCTGGAAAGCAACCTTTAGGTTAAATAAACTCACCTTTGGGTTCTAGGAAAATACTGTTTAAGTTTTGGAAAGTAACATGTACTTTTTGGGGGAAAAACAAATTTTGAAGAAACTAATCAAAGTTCTAGGAAAGTGCCATATCAGTTCTAGAAAGTAATCTTTAAGTTAAAGAAACAAACTTTTGGGTTCAGGGAAGGTACCGTGCAAGTTCTGAAAAGTAACCTCTATGTTTGTAAAAGTAATCTGTATTTTTGAAGAATCTGTCTCAAAGTTCTTTGAAAGTACCAGATAAATTCTAGAAAGTAAACTTTAAGTTAGATAAACTCAACTTTGGGTTCCGGTAACGTACCGTGTAAGTTCTGGAAAATCCATCCATCCATCCATTTTCTGTACACCCTTGTCCCTTAGTGGGGTCGGGAGGGTTTCTGGTGCCTATCTCCAGCTAACATTCCAGGTGAGAGGCAGGGTACATCCTGGACAGGTCGCCAGTCTGTCGCAGGGCAAGTTCTGGAAAGTAACCTCTGCAGTTTGGGGTAGAAACTGTACTTTTGAATAAACTGTTCTAAAATTTCTAGGAAAGTACCATAGAGCTGCTAGAAAGCAACCATAAGTCAAGGAAACTAATTTACATTCTTGGAAAATACCAAGTGAATTCTGGAAAGTAAGTTATTGGAAAAGCAACTCTGTAAGTTCTGGGATGGTAAAGTAGGAAGTTCTTTAAATTAACCTGTGAATTCCAGTAAAGTGTAGGCTGCATTATGTCTCACCTCCAAGACTAGAAGTATTGGCCAAAATAAGTCATTTTTTTCCCAACATATATGTGGCTAATGACTGTTTCAGGTCTCCGCAAAGTGATGGTCCGAGCCCACCGGCAGGCGTGGTGCTGGCAGGATGAATGGTACGGTCTCACCATCGAGGACATCAGGCAGCTGGAGCTGGAAACCCAGCTAGCGTTAGCCAAGAAGATGGCGCAGTACAGCCTGAATGAGGAGGGGGTAGCAGAGACCAATGGCTCCTCTGTTAGCCAAGATCAGGAACAGCCGGGAGAGAACCTGGGGTCAGCTGCAGAGGTCGAGGGAACTCGAGGAAAGCTTGGAGATTCTCTAGAGACGCGAGGGGAGCTCACCAAGCAGTGGTCCACCTCTTCCAGATCGTCCAACAGGTCATCAAAGAGAGGAAGTTAGTGGAGCTCCTTGGCTTTCATTTATCAATTTATTACACAAAGTAATTCAACTTTTTACTTCATTACAGTGTTTTACTGATATTCTGGTTTCGGTTTTCATTATAATTTAACAGAATATTAATTACGTAAAAGCCTTGAAAAGGGAAATAATTGCATAAACACGTTCTTACCTCTGCTACAGGGTGATTGACGAGTTATTATAACTTACATGCATAGACAACAATGATTCCCAACTTGAAACAACAGTACAGTTTTCTTAAGAATTAACTTAGTACTTAAATATGATAATAGCAAATAACAGATGCAGAATAAACCAAACCTTGTGCAAAGGCTGTCTACAGTATAATGCTACATTCACACATGGGTTAGCATTGTCTGTTGGGAGCTGCCAGCAAACTGAGGCTAAACCTTTTCTCTGAACAACAAAATGTGTAAATATAGAGGGTAACAAAGAGTTTTCACAAGCTTTCTAATAGTTAGTAAACCCACTTACAACAGCACAGGCAAGTTATGTGTGAATTCATACCTGAGAAATAATTCAATAAACCAGCCACTGACACATCTTCACGCACCAAGGAGGAAGTTTCAGTGTTTTTTGCTATGGCTCTCTAGCGCTACACGCCCTCTGCTGGTTGCATATGGTTACTACATCTACCAAATCAAATCAGGACGTTAACGTATAGTTAACCAAAATTTAGGCAAACACATTGTAAATGTAAACAGTAACATTCAAGTCTGTAATGAATTCAATATGCAGATAAGAGCAGAAAGAATAAATGTACCTCTGACTTATAATGAACAGATTTCATTCCAGAACAATTACATAACTTTTATTGGCATTTGACTAGAAACAGCTAAATTAAATGTTTTGTTTATGTTTTTAGCGAGTCCGTCTCACCACAGCATTTCAGAGTGGAGGATGCAGAGCATTGCCCGGGACTCTGACGACAGCACTGACGACGAGTTCTTTGATGCCCACGGTAACAATTATCGTCACTCTGAAATCCAAATCAGCACGTTATGAGCCGCAGCTCAGGACCCAAAAGATTGATCCAGTTTGTCAAACATGCTCCACTGGAATCAGGACCAAGGTTTTGGTTTCAGACGTTTTTAAAGTATTTTATGATTTCTAATCTTATTATTTCCTGACAGATAAGAGACATGTTGTCATAAATTAAGTCAAATATAAAATGTCACCAGCCTAATAAAGGTATAGCCTATTAAAATTAATTGGAAACATCCTCAATTGAAAGCAAAACCAAAAAATAAAAAAATAAATAGAGCAAATTTGTGTGACATTCAGCTACTCATTAGTAATTATAGTAATTAGAAGTGAAGTGGAGGTTCCCAGCTTTGTGCGTCGGTGGTGTAAATCGCTCCACATGAGGGGCTTTTTATTGCTTGGCATTGTTTCAGATTATGAAAAATTATGTTTTTACCCTTCACAGAAGTTACTCCTCAGTTTCTACAAATTAGGTCCCAGTTCTCAGCAGCACCTGAAGCAGGCTGCAGCCCTCAGGAGCTTTTTCCTGCTTTTTTTTTTAAAGCACCACCTTATTTTCAGTTTGCCCAAACCACACAGTACAGCGCTCAATGCTCAATATTAATAAAGTGCTGCGGAAAACTTTGGGCACGTAAAGGAGAAAAATATCCTCCTTGCCAAAGAATGTGACTAAAATAAGTATTCTTGTTTTCAGATTGAATTTCTTAAGGCCATTTAAAGTAAGACAAAGCAACGTCTGTGCACATTTTTCCAAGGATGGACAGTTTGATTGTTCTGCAGGTAAAGCAGATGGTGCTCAGATGGCGGATGGATTGTAAAATAGACCTTAACAAAACAAACTGAGATGCAATGGAAAGCAAATGTATTTCAGTTAGATTTTATGTGATAGATGTAACTTTACAACACAGAGAAAGGAAAATTATAGACATTTTGGAACACTTTATACGAAAAGAAATGTAAAACAAAATGTGCCACCAAAAACTACAACTTGCTGAAGTTCGACTGTAATTCTTCAGAAGAAAATAAACTTTTTCTTCTGTTTTGTCTGTTTTGTCCCAGTAAAATATTTTTAACTCAGATTTGACAGAGTCTCTGAGCTCAACCAGAGCTCTTAGCATCTTTAAAACGCCTTAAGTTTGTGCATTTAAAATTAAGACCTTAAAATGTCTTAAATTTCTTTAAAAAAATTGTAAGCTTGCCCTAAATACTTAAAATGCTAGCTGTTTTTTGTGTTTATCATGAGAAAGTGTAATTTATTGTCAGGTAGCTGGACGATGCTCATCTTCACCACTGGCTCACTTTTGCTCCCGACCCATATGAGGTCAGGTGGATTCTGTGCACTACTTAGGCCTGTGATGATAATACATTTTGCTGTACAATAAATTGTTCTAGAAGTCATTGCGATAAACAATAATATTGTTGTTTTGAGACCATTCTCAAGTACTATAATGGTAGTAGTACCATTATAGTATTATTGCAAGAGCACATCCTCAAAGACCAATAAACATTAAATTCTAATGAACATTTAACCCTGGAACCAGAAGCCATCTTAAATATCCAAAACTAAATAAACAAAACAACAAACAAATGTAATTATGAAGTTTCTGTAAACAAAACTGTCCTTCAAAAAAAATGACTAGATGAGACCAAAGCACCAGACTGGAGACTTTTATCATCCAGTTTTTGGTAGAAAGAGAAAATCGATAAATCATGGCAATCAGAATCATTGAGTTTGTTTTAATTTATCATGTGATTAATTGATTTATTGATTATTGTGACAGTCTTAGCACTAATTGGGTATAGAATATGCATTTTTATTTTGTACATTTCTCTCGTAATTCACATCTTAAATTTAATTTATAATTCTCTTTAAAAGGTTGTTTAAAGGCATTAAATCTGAAACCTGCAGAAACCCTGACGACAGTTCCTTTGACTTGACATGAATATGCTCTGATCTAAATCAGTCGATTCGTCTGACAGGATGTACTGAGCCACCGAAACTGAATTTGAAGATTTCAAAAAGAGCCATAAACCACAGTCTGTGTAGAAAATATTGCTTTCAAGAAGAGGCTAGTGCTACATGTGAGTTCTTGTGGTCGTTTTGCAGAGGACCTGTCGGATAACGAGGACATGTTCTCCAAGGAAATCACCAAGTGGAGCTCTAATGACCTCATGGACAAGATCGAGACAATAGAAGTGGATGAAGCACAAGGTAGACGACCATTCATGATATTCATTCTAAAGAAAACTACAATCGTAGATAAAATAATTCACTTTTTTAAAAAGATAAATATCTGAGTTGTTGTTTTCTATTCAAACAGAAGCGTATCAGGAGTTGAGTGAGGACTACAGCGTCACTGAGGACACCCAGATGGAGGTACAGGCTTCACTCGTACTCTCACTTTAACTCCATGGATAAAAAAAAAAATCTAATTCTCACAGGCAGTGACCCATCTGCTAAATAACCTTTGACCCTCCATGCTGGTGTAGGTAGAAGGACTGTCCGTCCGCTGCAGTCTCCAGCTCTGTTTACAGTATTTCCCCAATAAATAGACATGAAAGGCCCAGCTTCTCTCTTCTACTGGGTCCATTTATTTTATGAGTGTGGCCAGAAGAGCATGAGAGGCCGCATATTATTTTAGCAAGACTTTATATTTTACTTCAAGTTTCAGTCATACCAGGAACTCAAAAAACAACAAGAAAACACAAACTAAGATGACTTTAAAAGAAGTTGAACAATTATTAGGATGAATAAATAAATGCTAAGTTATAACTGATTCTGTTTGAACTCAAATGACCCCTTAACTTTGACATTAATACATACATGTGTTAATACAAATACATGTATGATGTGACTGGGGATTAATTACAGATAAATTAGAATTTTTTTTTTCTTTTGAGGCTTGATTGTCAGATTAAAAGTACATTTTGAAAATAACCTTTAAGCAGCTTTTCATTAAGCCAACATGTCTATTAAAAATGTTTTTTTTTGTTGGTCTGATGTAATATTCTAATCTTAAATGCAGCGTTTTCATTTCAAATCATCATAATCAACAAAGCTTTAAATATCAGTCTGTTATTAATCTATATAATGTTAAGTAAACTAACTTGAATAATATTCTAATTTATTGAAAATGAATTCTATCCTTTTTTTCATTACACTAAAATTTATTTCCTGCTGTTTTCTCATCAGACTCTGATTCATACATGACATGATGTCAGGGGTTTTGCTTCCAAATCTTTTCCCACCATCTTTCCTCCGATCCTCTCTCCACAAATATTTCATTGTGTTCACCTTCATTTCCTGCTAGTCTTTATCTTTTTTTTTATCAAATCCGTTCCCTTTCAGTCCCTTTTATTTGGATTTTTAACCTTTTAACCCAGATTTGCAAATGTTTCTGTCCAAACCTGAAGTTTCCTTTCCTTAATTCAGATTCCTGATTAAATTGGTTATTCTTACAGCAATGCAATAAAAAATCTGAATCTTTAGCTTGACATAAATAAAAAAAAACAAAAAAACTTTGTGCTTCATGTTTTACTATGACGCATAAAAATGGGGAACTTTAGTGATTTATCGCTTTTTTGTTAACATTTGCTCCATCTTTCCTATTAACCAGCCCTTGTTTTTTCCTTCTGTGTCTCCCTTCCTGTTGTCTGCAGGACTGTCCGTCCCAGCAGTGTCCCCAGCCGTCCAAAATCCACGTCCTCATTCTGGTCCTGCATGGTGGTAACATACTGGACACCGGCTCTGGTACTACGGCGTGTTAATCTTTGGAACATTTTTCAGAAAACAAAAACCTTTCATACTCTTATTTCTGTTCATGGTCAGCTGAACCCATTCTTCATCTCGAGTTTAAGATGAGCAAAGAAAAGTATCACAAGAGCTCAATGAAGATGTAATAAAAGGAATATAGATTTGATTCAGATTAACTTTGTGAACATATTAAATTAGTGAACTTTTTCTCTAAGCCTAGATAAGGTGTTTTAAGATCAATCTGACAAAAAGCAAAGACAATAAAGGTAAGACTAGTTGATTGGTGAAAAGGTTTTTATCTGTTGAGGAAGAAATGGCTTTTTACCTTTTTTTTTCTGTCAATTAAATTACAATTATTCAAATTAAAGGGGCGGTATTATGTATTTTATACTCACATGGTGCCACTTTATAGCACTAGCAAGTAACTGTTACCTTCAGTTATATACAGCCTATATATTTCAATTATGACATAAAAGAAATTTGACTTTGTAATTTAATGTCTTGAAATTGGGCCTCTGTCTCATTAAGAAACTCCTGCTCTTTCTGAAACTCCGCCTTCAGGAAGTCATCACAACATGGCTCCTCTATTAAAACTTTAACAACATTTTTATGAGCGTTTCACTGAAAAGTAGCTCCTATACTGAGCTCAGCAGATGCTCAGTTTCACCAGGTGTTTGCTAATTGCTGCTGGCTAGTCTGAAGGAGCTGAGTGGGAGCGTGTGGGGGGAGGGATGCTCTGTGAGGCGGAAGCCTAGAAATTTCAGCTCAGAGGAAAAGCTGTGTCTCTAAGGCTGGGCGAGGTCCACCCAGGCATTTTTCACAGCTGAATGGTTGCCATGGAGATTAATAGAGTTCTCAAACATGTATGAAAGAATCAAAGTAACACTCCAGGTGTGTTTTTGGTGAGGAAATAACATCATAACACGATTTAAAGCTCACAAAAGTTGACATTACATAATACTGCCTCTTTAAGAATGGAGAGATGAGATTTACTGAAATACTTTTTAAAGGTTGGTGAAAGTTATGCCTTTGGTTTTTGTTTGTTTGTTGGACTGCAGGTGAACAGAACAGCAAGCAGGGAGACGTGAACACTCTCAGTGGGGCTTTTGAGACCGTGATGAGGGTCCACTACCCTGCGGCGCTCGGACGCCTCACCGTCCGGATGGTCCCCTGTCCTGCTGTTTGCGTCGACGCCTTCTCACTCGTCTCCAAGTGAGTGACGAACATTTCAGTAACACACTGTCAAGCAAACTCAGCCCGCTAAGCTAAGTTAAGCTAAACTAACGCGCTCCGCCTCGACGACCTGCAGTCTGAGTCCGTACAGCTACGATGAGAGCTGTCTGTCCAGCAGTCAGGACCACATCCCGCTTGCCGCTCTGCCTCTCCTGGCTACGTCTGCGCCGCAGTACCAGGACGCCGTGGCAACGGTCATTCTAAGAGCCAATCAGGTTTACAGTGACTTCATCAAGTCTCCAGAAGGAGCTGCTTTCAGCGGCCAGGTCAGTCGGAGTGTGACGGTGGAGAAAGGAACATGTCCGGACAAAGTGGATTTGTGAATTTGTGACGGTCGGCTTCCCCTTCATCTTGCAGGTGTGCGTCATCGGGGACTGTGTGGGAGGGATCCTGGGCTTCGACGCACTCTGCAGCAGCTCTGTGACGGTCTCAGAAAGCCAGAACAGCAGCAGGCGGGGCAGCACCATCAGTGTCCAGGTACACGTCTCATCTCTCTGACCATAACTCATCTGACTGGCTGCTCTGAGTTGGAATAGTCAGTTAAAGGAGTGCATTTGGTTAAAAAGTGTATAATATCAGTTCTTAAGAAACTAAAACTTTCATCCAGCTAGCTGGAGCTAGAGCTGTCACAAAGAAAACATTTCTCACTGAAACTTAGAATGTCTGAATGGATCTGAATGTAAAAATGCTGCTTTCATGGGGCAGAATTATGTCAATCTGACTGTTTTAAGCTTTGCATCATATTATAAAGTTGTTCCCCCCAAAACACAGACCTGGAGTGTTGCCTGAATTCTTTCATGCATTTAAGTCCTTTAATCTCCCACGGCAACCATTCAAGCTGTGCAAAACGCCTGGGTGGACCCAGCTCCATCTTTGAGGCACAGCTCCTCCTCAGAAGGAGTTTCCAAGCTTCCAAGCACAGGGCAGCCCTCTGTAAGGCTCCTTCAGACTAGCCAGTAGCAATTAGCAGACACTCGGTCGAACTGAGCATCTGAGCTCATCATAGGAGCTACTTCTCAATACGATGCTGGTAAGAACGTTGATAGAGGGTTAATAGAGGATGATTTAATGAAGGTGGAGCTTCAGGAAGAGCAGGAGGTTTTAAAGAGACAGAGGCCCAAAGTCAAGTCATTAAATTATTGTCAGGTTTCTTTTAAGTGTTATTGGATGCTTGCCACATTTTTATAAGAACTAAAGGTAACATATTTACTTGATTGTGGTATAAAATGGCACTATGTGTCTAGAAAATACATAATACTTTGGTTGCAGCCTTTCTGCTTTAAAAAGCTGACAGAACATCAAACGAGTGGAATATATAAAACCATGTTCTCCATCTTTGATTCCCAGGACACAGAACTTCTCTCTCCTGGTATAATCATAAACAGCATCTCCCCGTCGTCGCCGTCCCTCGAAGGCAGCCGCCACTTGAGCCGCAGCAACATCGACATCCCGCGCAGCTCGGGGCCCGACGACCCCAAGAACCAGCTGCCGCGCAAGCGCAGCGACTCCTCCACCTACGAGCTGGACACCATCAAGCACCACCAGGCCTTCCTCTCCAGGTGAGCTACGGAGGGAGACAGGCTGCCGAACGCACAAAGGCAAATGGATCCGGCTCACGTGTGCTTTTCGCCGTTTCCCTCCTGAGCAGTCTGCACTCCAGCGTTCTCCACGGGGAGCCCGGGTCACGGCGCTCCAGCAACAGCACCATGCTGGAGGGCGGCTCCCTGGGGAAGTTCGACTTCGAGGTGACCGACTTCTTCCTGTTCGGCTCTCCTCTGGGGCTGGTGCTGGCGCTGAGGAAGACCGTAGTCCCCTCCTTAGACGGTGAGGAAGGCTCTTTGGTTTCTGAGGTTTGGCGCTCTCTGACGCGGGGAGAAGGACTCATTGTCGCTTCGCCGCGTCTCCGGAGCAGCTGGGTGTCAGAGGTCATGTCTCTGTACTCAGAGGCCGAGGGGCCATGAAGTACGTGATGGATGAGCTGATGTCGGTCTGACTGCTGGCGTCCTGTTGGGGGTTTCATGGGAATCAGGCTCTCAAGCAGCTGACTGAACAGATTTCCAGTTAGCAGAACATTTATACGTTTCCTTTATTTCTACTGAGAAAGTTTATGAAAGAAAAGAAGAACATTAGTTTCTAATTAAATGAAATTATTTGAAATATTAAAAGAAGTCAATGCAGGACATTTAAATCTCCAGCTATTTGAAAAAGTGGAGTAAGCTTAATAAAGTACGATATTTCAAACAACAAATAAAGAGAATATATGTACGGTAACAACAGAGGCATTTAGAATAAAATAGAATAGAAAGGAAATGGGCTTTGTTGTCCCGAATTGGGGAAATTAATAATTAATAGCAGGAAGTGGAGACACATAGATTCACACAGAGATAAAAAAAAAGTATTAAAATCTACATTTTAGTGTCTTTAGTGGACAGTAAAAAAATTAAAAATGATGTTCTGTACAGTAAGTGGAAAATTACAACATACTCTGCAGTTATCAGAAATACTTCAAAGAAATGTTCAACTATAGCATCATATTTTAAACATGCACAGAATGAGTATTGAAAAACAACAAGCTATCTACAGTATATGAAAATTGATGTTGGTCCTAATTTGATGTAGTAATATATAATTTGTTTTACTTATTTTTTTATTCAGAAAATAGTACAAAAGAAACATTACAAATGAACAAACAGAGGTATAAACCATAAGATAAGAGAACAAATAACAACAATAACATAAAGATAAAATGAATAAAAAAGGAGGAACACATCAAAAACAAAATGGATCATAACCAAGTGGTGTCACAACAAAACATGGATTTATTTAATGTGAGTTAGGATGCTTTGTTTTTCTTTTAATTTTAACAGTTTTTTTTCTGAAATGCATTATTATTTTCTTTTTCTTGTTCTGGCCGGCTGCAGTGTCCGCCCTGCGTCCAGCCTGTCAGCAGGTCTACAACCTGTTCCACCCGGCCGACCCGTCTGCCTCCCGCCTGGAGCCGCTCCTGGACAAGAGGTTCCACCTGCTGCCCCCCTTCAGCATCCCTCGCTACCAGCGCTTCCCCCTGGGGGACGGACACTCGGCTCTGTTAGGTTGGACTGCAGACACGTTTCCTGCCACCGATCTCTGCCGTTCCCTTTAAACACCAGGACATGTCGCCTGTTCCTTTTCTGTTTCCGGGTCTTTAGTGGACACCGTTCAGAGCAACCCGCAGCTGCTGATGGAGCCCGGCGGCGGGCTGTCTCAGCGTTCCCATGACAGCCCCGCCAGCGAGACGTCCATCCTGGTTCCGGTCCTGAACTCTCAGACCTCTCTGGTCCACGGCGATGGTACATTTCCAGTCCGGCTGATCTTTGTTCTCTTTCAGCTGCTTTTGGTTTAGAAATTTTGAAGCGAGCGTCTGCTGGAAAGTTAACCTGGAGTTTAACTCTCTTGTTATCCTTATTTAGAATAAAAAGCCAGATTAGCCTGAAGCTAACAGCTAGCCTGAGAGAGCAAAGAGAGTTTCTACTGTCCTAAAACTTGCCCAATCTCAAAAATATCTCAGCAGTTTTAGTTTTACTTTTTACTTTTTTTAAACCATCAACATGTGAAATAATATTTTTTTTAACAATTTACTATTTAGTCATTTTCTTTCTTGTTTTTGCTTCTCCCTCTTGTGGTCGTTGTGTTGCCTTCGGTTTTGGGTTCAGTTTTCAAAGCACATGAAAAAAGTAGCAACTTGTAGTCCGAAAATTACAGTAATTTGGATTTATTCTAAACGAAGATGCAAAGACAATTATCCACTGAGGGTGAAGCTTACAAATCTTTCAACAGAACCCAGGATCAAAAATAATCCTTTAAAACAAACATTGTGCAGATTGTTGTGCTTGGTCACATAAACCTCTTCTCCGCCTGCCTCAGCAGAGGTTGACATTGGTGATCACTCAGATCAAAGTTGGAAACTCCTAAACTCCTGACTCTCTCCTCTGTCTCAACAGCTGACTCTCTTCAGTCTCATCTCCATGCTGATGGTCTGTGTCCGACCTCCACATCGCCAGGAGTCCCCCACCTCCGCTGCAGCCGCAGGGCCAGCGAGGCCAGCCTGGCCAGCCAGGTGTCGGGTCTGGCCGACTCCTACACAGCCACCAACATCGCCACCAGTAAGTCTGTCGGACCGACCGCGGCGTTGACCCGCGATATGTTCACACGCTGACCCTGTTGTTCATTCGTCCCCCGCCTCCAGCAAACAAAAGTCACTGTAAGAGGCCCAGCCTGCTGTCGCAGCTGCCGCTGCCGCACAGTAGATTCGCCTCTCGGAGCGCGACTATTCGCTTGCACAGCAAAATCCGTCGGGTGTTCCCAAGAGCTAACGGTGTGGAGTCTGAGCCGAGCTCAGACCCTAGCTCTGACATGACCTCTGACCTCACCGATGTCACATCTGACATCACAGACCTCAGCTCGGTGCCCCCGTCGCCCCGGCTGCTGAAGAACATAGAGCAAGGTACCCTGGCAGTGAGTGAGGGGTGCAGTGGGACTGTAGGACCTCTCCTGGTTCCCTGAGCTCTGCCCGTCTCCCTCTCTGTCTTCCTCTGTAGTCACGCCTCTAGAAATAATAAAAAACCAAACCCTGACCCTCCTTGTAGGCATCCAGGAAGTCTGGCTTACCAGAATGAAATAAAATGATTCGCATGAGGTTTCCTTTGACACCTTCCTGCCAGTTTGCCTTTCGAACCCTCCGAGCGCGACACTGGTCTCTTCCTGTTTTCATCCATAGAGCCTCACAGTTGAAGCCTTTGCCGTGGTTTAGACGTAGAGTCCTTCTGAAGTCTTCATCTCTTCACCAGGATTAACTTGACCATGAACATGAGCCAACAGTAAGTCCTGACCGTGTCTCTCTGCTCCTGACTAGTTGCGTCGCGGTGGTGGGGCAGTAAGCGCATGGACTACGCTTTGTACTGTCCCGACGCTCTGACGGCGTTCCCCACCGTGGCTCTGCCACATCTCTTCCACGCCTCCTACTGGGAGTCCACAGATGTCGTCTCATTCCTTCTCAGACAGGTTTGTGCTTCACTCAACCCAGAGCAGGAATTAGAACAAACTTAGAAAGTACCGTCTACTTTATTGAATCAAACATGGAGAACCAACATCTAATCTGATCAGGTCAAGAGTCCAGAGAAACCCCAGTTAGTTTATTATCAAGATCAAATTTACAAATCAAGATCATGAAGGCTCTTAAAGGGCCGGTTATTACCAGAATGTATTGATAAAATCTGTTAAATAATTTTATTGAAGATCTTTTCAGTTCCTCCAGGATTTTGTGATACTTTTTGGGATTTTTATTTATTTATTTTTTATTTTTGCAATATAAACAAAATTGTTTGTGATACTAATTTGGAAATATTTGCAATATTTATTTATGACGGTAAATACGACTTTTTATTACTCTGTATGGATCATGGAATACAATCTGACATCAATTAAGGCTGTTTAGTACAAGTAAAAAAGTTTTTGACAATTTTTGAGAAAAATCTGCAATAAACTCCCAATTATGTATCAGTGCAAAAAGGTGTGGGGATTTCTTGATTTTGAGTGAATTTCCATAATAATTCTCAAGAAACTGGAGGGCAATTGGCAGTAAACGGATAAAATCTACATTGGTTTGATAACATAATATTAGTCTAAGGTGAAAACCACAATATTGTAGCATCCTGCAGTATGTGAGAGAATGAAAAGGGGACATTTCCAAATTACTCTTGAACATTTTCTTTACATTAGTTCTGTTTTGGCCTCTGTAGGTAATGAGACATGAGAACTCAAGTATTTTGGAGCTGGACGGTAAAGAGGTGTCTGAGTTCACGCCCTCCAAACCTCGGGAGAAATGGGTTCGCAAGAGGACACACGTAAAAATACGAGTGAGTGTGTTTTAATTTGTTTCCTCAACCCAATGCTTGTGAAAGAAAAAAATAGCTGCAGACTCAGATTTGAGCTCTTTGAAGGAGTTTTTTCATTTTTATAAAATGTTTTTTTCAAAATAGATGCCCTCAAATAAACAATCATTCGTCCTTTCATGTTTTGTGCTTGTGACGGTCAGAGGAGCATGTTTCATGCCGAACACAGCCGTCTACTGAAACCGATTCTCTGTTTTCGTCGCTTCCGCAGAACGTGACGGCTAACCACCGCGTGAACGACGCCGTCTACACGGAGGACGGGGCGCAGACAGTGACGGGACGCTTCATGTATGGACCTCTGGACATGGTCACTCTCACCGGGGAAAAGGTGAACGTTGAACTGAGGAATGGAGGAGGCGAGGAATCGTCATGAAGCCGGTTAACCACGGCGTCGGTGAAACACTGCAGCTTTCTCACCTTTTTCCTTCTGCAGATCGACATCCACATCATGACCCAGCCCCCGTCTGGGGAGTGGGTCTACTTTGACACGGAGCTGACCAACAGCAGCGGACGCGTCTCCTACGTCATCCCAGCCAAGAAGCGACTGGGCATCGGGGTGTACCCTGTCAAAATGGTGGTCAGGTGTGTGAACTCACAACTCCCAGAAGCTGTGAAAAAGTATTTCTGAAGTGTTTGAGTTCATCTATTTATTTAATTAGGTTAAATCAGGTTATAATTCATTGATTATATTTTATTTGAAAACTACATATCCACAACAAAAGCAACATTTTCAGTTCAAAAACCCTCACTGCTGAATTATTGGATAGCGATAGATGATCTCAAAAAAAAAAAATGTATGTTATTCTTTAATTTTTATTTAGGTTATCCAAAGCATTACAGTGTGACTGTGGCAATAAAATGTGTTTTCATGTATCCCAGCTGGATCTTCTGACTCCTGCTGGTTTCTGCTTCTCTTCCCTGCTGTGTCTCTAACAGAGGTGATCACACGTTTGCAGACAGTTATCTCACCGTCGTACCCAAAGGGACAGAATTCGTCGTTTTCAGCATCGACGGCTCGTTTGCTGCCAGTGTGTCTATCATGGGAAGCGACCCCAAGGTTCGGGCCGGAGCCGTGGACGTGGTGAGGTACGGATGAACGATGCAACAACCGGCAGGCTGTCGGGCCGTCCGGATCCGCTCACCGCTTCCGCTTCTGTCCAGGTACTGGCAGGACCTGGGCTACCTGATCGTGTACGTGACGGGCCGGCCTGACATGCAGAAGCAGCGTGTGGTGGCCTGGCTCTCCCAGCACAACTTCCCTCACGGCGTGGTGTCCTTCTGCGACGGCCTCGTTCACGACCCGCTCAGACACAAGGCCAACTTCCTCAAGTGTCTCATCAGTGAGGTGAGGGAGGCAGAAAAGTGTGGAGGGTTTCCTGTCGTTCCCTCCACACTTTGTTCCCTCACCATGTCGCTCTCATTCCCCACCCATGGCCACGTTCCCACCAAGCCCAGCAGATTCAAACAGTTTTCACCTATTTTTTTTTACATGTCAAAGTCGTCCAAGCTTCAGAAATAAATGATCAACAGCTAATTTAATCGATTAATCGTCAACTGGAGTATACAGATCCATCATTTAAACATGGCAACATGTGTTAACAGAGTGGATGCTACTTGCTTGGCGGTTTTAGCAACAAATCTGTCTTAGTTTGCACTTTGTTAACTAAACACATGTATATGTTCTGCTCTGCGTCCTGAAAATGGACGAATAGTTTTTCTTAAAACTTGCTCTCACTTGTCGGCTTAGGCCCACATGAGGATCTTTGCTGCCTACGGCTCCACCAAGGACATCTCCGTGTACTCGTCCATCGGCCTGCCCCCGTCTCAGATCTACATCGTGGGAAGACCAACGAAGAAGATGCAGCACCAGTGCCAGGTATGGAGCAAACCCGACTTACTGATGCACTGCAGGAGCAACTGGCAGAAAACTCAGAGTTTAAATTAGTCCTAAAGTAACGGTGCAATGTGTAGTAGTAATAAAACGAGGGGTCAAAATGTAATAAAACATCAATAAAGCAGCATTATGTATGCTTAGCAGTGCTTCCTGCTACTTCCTGCGTAATTACATTTTATACTGGTCATTAGAAAATGTGGAAGTAACTTTTTATTTTAGAAATGATAATATAATAATGTATGTAACGAAGGACCACAAACTGTTTGTGTTGTGTTGTAGATCCAATACGCATTTAAATGGAAACTTTGATCAATAATTGTTGAACTTTTTCATGCTCTCTGTCAGAACCGTCCAAACTTCCAGGGTTTCATTACGTTTTGCACACAGTTTTAATGGTATTTCATTACATTTTAAAGCCTGATCTCATTCCATCGTTACATATCATGGCGCTACATACTTTAAAGTCAAAGTTTTACTTTGATCTTGTTAAGAAAAAACAAATAAAAAAAACACCTTTATTTGATAAGCTTTTAGAAATCCATCCAAAGTTGAGTCAGCAACAGGTTTCAGCAACAAGATGCTTCAAAGTGATAAAATATAACACAATTAATCAATGTCCCAGTTATTATTAACAAATGGGTGTTCTAGCCTTGATTAAAAGGAAGTCAGTGTTTCAGCAGTTTTTCAGTTTTCTGGAAGTTTGGTTCTGATTCTGGACGCAGAGATTGATATAAAAGCTGATAGATCCTGAATCATGAAAAAAAGCTAATAAAAACATAAAACACTTTAATAACCCAGGAGGAAAACTGAGTTTGTATTTCAGTGTTTTCCCACGTTAATTTGTGAGAGAAATGTTTTTGTGGGGTTTTTTTTAATCCTACTGTTATGGTGAGCCATTTATTCATAAACTTGACCGTCTGACCTCTCCTGCAGTTCATCCCAGACGGCTACGCCTCCCACCTGTCGCAGCTCGAGTACAAGCAAAGGTCTCGACCTGCCAAGTCCACCTCCACCCGCATGGTCCTGAGGAAGGGCAGCTTTGCCCTCGGGGCGGCTGGAGGGGATTTCCTCCGCAAGCGCAACCACATCTTCCGCACCATCTCCTCCCAGCAGCCAGGGGGCTCCGGCTCCGGCAGCCAGCCGGTACGGACCGAGCGCACACTGAGCCAATGCGAAGGAGAGCGCGAGCGCTCGTTCGCCACCGCAACCCAGAGGAGCATGAGCATAGCGGCGGGTTGCTGGGGCCGCGGGAACAAGGAGGGGCCCAAGTGAAGTTTACGCACGGAGCCAAAGACGCTCTGTGATCTCTGGACGGGACAAAGACCCGGACGGACCGGGTCGCAGGTCTGTAAGGAGGCAGAGATCAAAGCGTTCTGTAGCATGATCCTCTTACCGTCAGACTTTTATAGGATGCATCATGTAAATAGAAAATGAAATATTATAAGCCTTAAATTAATCTCGTCTAATGGGACCGCCTCCTCTCCGTCCCAGCATTCACGCTCATGAGCTCAGGACTGTTTCATCCTCAATCGAACACAAGTCTGATCCAAGAGGTGTCTGGCTTTTCTCCTCAACTTCTGCTCCACCGTTTCTGACAGCAGCTCCTCCATGGCATCATGGCGAGAAGAAGCAGAAACACAGATAAATCATTAAAAGGTTCAAATCAAAACACAAAAGCAGATAGTTTTGGTTTGTTTTGTAACATGCGTGAAGAGGAACAAACTTTATTGTCCTTTTTATTCCCAACTATAGAAGGAAATAAAAGTTTTATCTCTAGGTGTCTGTTATGAGTACTAAGCTCCAGAAACATCTTTAAGTCATAAAACTATAGTCATAAATATGATAAATGTCACATATAGTTTATCCTGTTGGAGCCTGTTTGTTTCCTAAACACTGCAAAAACACTAAATCTTGCCAGTTAAGTATCTTAGTACACTTGAAATAAGACTAAATAACTTAAATATAACATTTTAGGAAGGTAAATAAGCTTGTTATAAGTCAATCATTTTTGCATATAAATAAAAACTACTAGTTCCACTGGAAGATTCTTCTTAAACATTTAGTGAAAAAATCCCAAATATTTAGCTTCAACTTGCTAATTACATACTTAGGAAGCTAAATATTTAGTGTCAAAGTACTTCAGAAAGAGTTAGTAAGCTCAAAATTAAGTTAGCCAACTAGATGTAGTTTGAAGCAAAATTTTGTTTTAAGTGAAAATAAGCTCAGTGAACATTTATGGCTCCATTTATTTCATTTGGTAATGTCTAGCCGTTGCTAGTGAAGATTAGATAGAAAATGCTGGAAAACTTGTAGAGCTTGTATTGCTAACACAGCTAGCATATCCAGTTAGCAACAATTAGCAAATCCAATTTTTGGAACATGATTACAATCTGATCCAGTTCTGACTTCAGAGATAAAAATACATCAAGAATCAAACCAAAACTCTCTGCTTTTCTACACACTAAAAGAAAAAAAAGTCTAATTTGGAAGTTTGGTTAATGGACTGTGTCGTATCTAGTCCCAATTCCAGAACAGGATTGTTTGTCATCCTTATTTTATTTTTTTTTTCTCGGTACACATTACAGGACAGCTGTAGTTTTTCTTCCTTTTCCTTTCAGCGTGGCCTTTTGGCCACAAAAGGCCTTAAAATCCCACAAGACACTGACTCTACAGCGAGAACAGGAAGCATTAAAACAGGGCATGCAGCATTAAAGCACCAACTGAACTCTGTACAGTCCACAGCAACTATCCCTTTATATAACCATCTGCTTGCAATACCTCAGACCCACCTGCTGGTGGCGCTCTGCGACCTGCAGCCGGGAGTCAGACAGACGGCTTTTCCAAGCTTTGTGCTCTTTTTGTGTTTCCAAGTTATGGACTCTGTGTTGCTGATCGAGGACGACGACATGGGAAGCAGGAATAGTTTTTATTGCACCAAAATGGCCGAAGAATACGTGGAAATGTTTCAGCCTGAATGTTTCGTGGTGCGTTCAGGGATGAATGTTGAGGTTTGGAGGATACGCCTCGTACCTCTCCTTCGTCCAAGATGACGTATTATGGGTTTTGCTGCTTTTCTTCTACTAAACTGTAGATTTTCATGCAAAATGGACTTTTAAAAAGAGTACATGTCATGTCTGATCTAGTGGATGAAACGGATGATGAGTTAAAGGAAGGCTCTGTAGATTATTAGGTTTTAGGACAACAGTCAGGTGCCTGAATGGAGACTGAAATCAGTTCCGTTTGGGTCTGATGTTCATCTTGCTTTAAAAGTTAAACATGTCCTGAGCACAAAATGTGCTTCCATTTTAAGTGATGGAGGAGAAATTGCCTCAGTAGTGAATCAAATTTTAAAACTAGAAAGATTTGCGTTTCCTGCGAAAATGCAGCTCGACTGCTGTAAGCAGAATGCTTTCGGTGAAAACTGCAGAAGCATTTGTAGTCCACTGCAGAAAACTTGCACAAATGTAAGAAATAAGCTGAAGCAGTGGGAAAACAGCAAGACGGTGTGCAAGAATATAGGAAAAAATTATTGAAAATGACTGAAAACTTAAGTCAGTGCAAAAAAGTTCCAGTTAAGAGTTTCAGATACTGTTACAGAACACTGTTTAAAAAGCTAAATTATAAGGTATAAAGCTCATAGTGCAGTCAGAGCAGAATGTAACGATGATTTTAACTAACATACTGCAAGTTGTGGTTTACTAAATATGTTTCACAATATTAAGTTACTCATTTAGTTTGCAAACAGCAAAATGCAACAGCCATCTAAAATATTTATGACAGCATGTAAGCTACCACTATTATGTTGACATGGAGTAACAAACTCCGTTCAGAATGAAAAATCCTATGTAAAAGCTAAAATTAGCCAAACTGCTAATGCTAGCTAAAATGCTCTCAATAGCAAGTGGGCTATCACCAACATGTTAATTAACATCAACTCACTCCATTCAGTCTATGTTTTGGCTTTTAAATGAAAATGTGCTAAAATGCTACATTATTAAAGAGGGCTAGCTCTAGCAAGTTGATCTATGGTAGCATACTCCATTCAATATGCAGAAACTCATGTTGGTAATGATAGCAACATGACAGTGTTACCTAACATGTTGGCTAACATTAGCATAATCCACTCAGTACATCAAAATTAGCTAAAAAGCTAATGTTTGCTTCAATGCTATTATCATGTTAGCTAGGATGTTGTGTAAACTTAACTTTGTCCATTCAGTAAGTTAATTTTGTTTTTTAAGCAGAAATTGGGTAAAAATGTAATGTTATTAAATGCTATTATTATCATGTTGACTTATGCTAGCATGTTGGATAACATTGACTTAATCCATTAAGTAAGGTAGGTAGCTTTAGTTTTTAGGTCAAAATTAGCAAAATAGTTAATGTTAGCAATCGTGCTATCATTATCATGTTGGCTTGCTATTTCTTTTAGATGAACCCATGTACGATTAAGATTAATCAATTACTTAAAAGTTAAATTTGCCAGATGTAGCCATAGCTTTTTAACAAATTGTTTCAATATTTCATAATTTCATTATCAACTGCTGTTTCACTATTTTGGAGTGCTACTGGTAATGACCCTTTAAAATATTTCCTTTTCACCCTCACTTAGACTGGAAGTACATTCAAGACACAGGTGTTTAAAAATGAGCACCTGACTGTATTTCAGTTTAATTCATATAATCTGGATTGAACTAGATTAGCTGACTAAAGAGTCCTTCCTTCCAGCCTGAGGGAGTTTTTGGAAGCTCTTGTCTGTTTCCACTCTGTGTGACCAACGATGTCTTCATCCCACGAAAAAAGCCAAAATCATTCTCTAATACTGTAGTGAATCAACTATTTAACCTCATTGTTTCTTTTTGCACTAGTTTTCAGGAGCGTATGTAATAGTTATTGTTTATGTCACTGTTTTTGACGCCTCTGTAGTGAAATTTCCCCCTTTGATTTCTGCCAGGGTGAGAAGCTCACTGTGTGTGTTTTTGCGTAGAAAGGAAAACGATGTCAGTATGACGAATGTGCCAAACTGTGGCTGCAAATGAAAACAGGAAGATTCAGACCAAGAATTTTAAAATACGGCTCAGTGCAACCAAAATCAGACTGCACCTTTTAGGTATTCATGTCTTTAATCTTTTCCGGTCCTCAGGACTACATTTCTCATAATACTTTCAAAGTACAGTTCTAGAAGTTTACATACACTCATGATGAATTTAGGGCTTGTAATCATTTAACTGAACCATTTTCTTTCCCAGAATTTAATTATCACACAAAATACAATTGTTGAAATCTATTTTACAAACTTTAACTTCTCCATTTTCGTTCCAGAGTATATATGGATACGCAATTTCAGCCAAATGTGTATATGAGCACATAAAAAAAAAAAAAAAGTGACACAATATATAGCTAAAACTATCTTTATTATGATTGGTGGCTTTTTCTTGGAAACTATTTGAAGATTTTTGAAATAAATTAAGAATAGCATTTTTTTAAAACTTAGTTGGAAAAATAAATTACGCTATAAACTCATACTTTATATTTATAATAGTCACAAAGTGGCCATTCATTGACACATTGAATTGTTAATTGATATAATTCTCAGGCAAATATATGATAATCTCAGTGACAGTGAAGTAATTTCAGACCTGTTGTTCTGACAGGACATTCACCAGTAAGATTCGTAAAAGAATAAATCAGAAAACAACATGAGCTTCTTAATGGTGTGGATTCGGCATGGGCCGGTTACCAATGTCACAGTGTAGCAAAGTTCAAGTAAAAATAAAACTAACAGTTTTTAGGATGCACCGTTGGCATTGGCCGATATTAGTCATTTTTTTCAGCATATCGGTATCGGCTCAATCAGTATCAGCCAATAATAGTTTTTTACCATATTGGTCCAATAAATAAAACTGGCCCGTTATTGACAACCGATATTTATTTCTGTCTTGGGGAGACTGGAAGATGGTGGTTATTTGTATTTGTTTGACTGAAGCAGAGAAGTAGTGATAAAGTCAACATTGTAGTTTTTTTTTTCAAGGTGTCAAAAGGCTAGTTAAATACATTTATGATATATATAAAATTGGTAAATATCCATTATCAGGAATATTGTCGGCATCGGCCCAAATCATGTCATTACAATTGTATAAATGACTGAAACCTTTCATGCTGTGAGAATCTCATACTGGCCCATGCCTAATGTAGCTCCAGTCACGTTCACACAGACCTACAGCATCCCCTCTGTTTGCCTCTATATTTCATTAACTCAGACTGATAATCAACATTTGTTCTGCCACACATTTCAGATTTCTGGACCCAAACCAAATAATCCCCCTTTGGCTGCTGAGCCGGGTCAGAGTGTCCGTTCATAATGGATGTGTCTGTGTAAATACTGTAAAGATGTACATGTAGAACCTCAGTGGCTGAGAGTTATTTATTTTAGTTAAGGGTCATGATGTTGTTCTGGAAATTTCAGGTAAAAATATATTTGAAATATGTAGCATTTGTTTCTGTCCGTTTGGCTCATTAAGGCAGTGGAGCCCGGAAGGTTTCTGAGTTTTTTTTCCCTGTGCATCGTTCTGGTTCCACCAGAGGTCAAAGTTTACCACGACACAAGCTACTGGACGAACCGGACACACCACCTGCACACAACTCTTTGTATTGAAACCTGCTGTTGGCTTGTGCTGTATCTTTAGCATTTTATAGGATTTCATGAAACAGTTTTTCAACCTGGAGTGTTTTACAGAAAACCTGACTTATAACCACAGACTGCTTTTACCAGTCACAAGTACGTGCATGGAAACCCATTGAGAACTGTTTAACAATCTGCTGCATGTCCTCTGTCAAATTGGAACCACTTAATAACAACAATATTATTATTAATAATACAGCAATTATGTTGTTCAACATTGCTCCATTCCTCAATAAAATATAGATATGGGGAAAAAAACCTGTCGCTTATGAATGAAATTGACATTTTGTGCTTTCACTCAGATTTGTTGTTTGTGAAAAAGTTAAAATGTGCTTTATTTAGCCATCGAGGAGCAGTTTGGGCTTCTGAATAAAACTTTTCAAGTTGTTCAGTCAGACAGGAGACACAAACCAAGAGATTATTGCTTTCACAAACCTGTTCAAAGATTTCTCCAGCATTTTTTAAAGCAAAGATGGGAACAACTTGAACAGCTAATAGTTTATTAGCTCCCACACATTAAAAGGCATTTTATGTAAAAAAATGTTTTTAAAAATGGACACGTACAACAAACAAGAAGAAGTCTTTTTTATTATTTTGGCAAAAGAAAAACTTGTTTTCAGAAATGTCCTGCAGGTGGCGTCTCTGATTACAGCGCCCCCTTTAGCTTAGTTAAGGTCAGTTTAGTTTCAGTCAAACCTTTTTACACACCGTGTCGTCACAAACACAGTGGCTCGTTTTCCACACCACGTCAGTGTTTGCCCCGAGCTGAGATGACGGGAAGAGCAGGAAGGGAATCCTCCACATATTGCACAAAATGGCAAAACGCTGTTTATAAAATTGGCCAAAAACAACAGCTTGACAGTAATAGTAGTAAAGATAAGCTATGATTGACCATATAAAAAATTTTCTCAAAAGAAAAAACGTATTCACATTTAATTGTTCTTAAACGTAGCGCTTGTGACGTATGCACACAAATACCACGACGGGCAGAATTGGAATTAATTAGCCCGCTTCTCAGCGTCACAGGATCGTTCAATAACCGGGATAAAGAGGAAACCTGCCGTTTATCAATGATTAACGACGTTCAATAGGCGCCACCTTGCGTTCAAAAAGTATATCGCGGCCAGCCAGTGACGCTAAACGAACACCAAATGGCGATTAATTTGTAACTCCGTCCCCTGGAGCTAAACCAGACCTTTTAAGTCGAGCACTGATCTACAATAGTTTTACAGCAGACAGAAAATTTGTGCCATATTAATTTCTTCATAAAGTTTATTGTTTCCTTTACAAAGTCATCTTAATAAATAATATGTGATTCAATGAGGCTGCTTAAAATTACTTTTAAGCACTTTTTAAATTTGTTGTTCTGCTGTAATATTAATGTAAGCAGAAATTCACCATAAGTAACTTACAGACTAATGAGAGATTTCTTTAGATAATTTTCGTCGGAGTGGACAGAAGTCATCTCTGGGGAACCACATGTGATCTTCCATTAAATATCTACAGGCTCCTGCAACATCAGAATTTAGTAATAGATTAATTACCATAGCTATGCAGATGATACACAGCTCTACATTACAATGTCACTGGGTTATTATCAGCTCATTTAAACACTGTGCAGAGGCACAGAACAAATCAATGAATGGATGTGTCATAAATGTCTTCACCTGAACACAAACCAAACTGAAATAATTATTTTTGAACCTAAAGAGGAAGCATCAAGAGTCGGCACACGGCTCCAACTATCACAGCTGATGTAGTGATGGACCTGAACCTTCAGCGTCAAATAAAGACGGTTACAAAGTCGGGCTTCTATCAGATGAAGGACATTTCCAGGATTAGAGGACTAATGTCACAACAAGAGTTACTTTGTGTCCCCAGAGTCAGAACCAACATGGAGAAGCAGCATTCAGTTTCAGTGCATCCACAAATTTGGAACAAACTTCCAGGAAACTGAAAAAACTACTGAAACACAGAGTTTCCTTAAAATAAAGGCTAAAACCCCATTAGCAAGCATAGCATTTAGTACTACTGTAAAAGCCATTAAAAGCCAATACACTTTACTGCAGGGGTGTCCAAAGTCGGTCCTGGAGGGCCGGCATCCTGCATGTTTTAGTTCTCTCCCTGGTTTAGCGCACCTGGATCAAATGATGGCTCATTAGAGGCCTAAGGGGAACATTGATATGCTGAAAAGGTTGTTACTACCACCAGGGAGAGAACTAAAACATGCAGGATGTGTCGCTGAAGGTTCAGACATCTTCATTGGATGTCAACACGAGAGGGCGGAGTTACTAATTACCCGTTGCTAAGCATCACCAGGTGAATGATAAACCTTCGATGTGTTTTACTTTTTGACAACCAGATGTTGAACAGGAAGTGGCGCTAAATAAACAGCAGGTTCCACATTTGATGGCTTTTTCTGATGCCAGGTGATGCTGGAAAGTTCGTGCATTAATTCCAAATCGGCCTTCCATACAAACCTTGTTGAGACACTGAAGGGTGGGGATGGAAGAGCACGTCTGCTCTTTGGTTTAACAGGACGGATGGATGAGGGGGAATGAAATGCATGACCAGCAGAGGGGTCAAAACATTTCTCAGTTTGTCTGTTCCTGTGTGTACAGTGACCTCATCATGGCTGCTTCAGAGCGCTCGAGGCCTCTTGGGGGTTATCTGTTTGCTAGCTTGTTCTTCTTCTTGGAGAGCACAGCGGAAGGACTTGACTTTATCTGAAAGAGGGAATAAAATCATGAATTCTAAAAGTTACACAGTTTAAAATGGGTAAAAAAAATCCCACAGAGAGTTAGAATGAAAATATTTATGGAAACCGTATAGAAACTGATTCGATGCCAAGATTATCAGGTGTTGTTTATTTCTGGTTTCATTATTAGAAATCTAGAAATCCAGAGATCTAGGAGTCTTTTTTATTTATATACAAATTTATTAATGTTTTACTCCTGGTAGTTTAGTATGACCTACTGAGAGATTAATCTCAGAACATTTCTAGAAAAAAAAAAAAAAAAAAGAAATTTTTGAGTTTGAAAAATTGAAAATCTGCCAGAAAAAACGTCTGAAATTTTGAGATTAATCTCAGAAATTTTTGCGGGAAAAAAAATTGTTGAAATTTGAGTTTCAAGTCAAAAATGTTTACGTTTCAAAAGCTGGATTTTTTCAACTTTTCAAGCTCAGATATTTCAATGTTTTTTCTCTGAAAATTTTACAAGATTAGTCTAGTTTCTAGCAAATGTTCAACTATTAAAACACCCTCAGAAGACAGAGCATAGAATTAGATTGAATAGATCTACCCCTATGGATTGGGCACATTTGCACTGATGCCCGATCTTGAATTTGTTTCAGTATCGATACCGATAAGATATTATCTGTCTCTAGCTTAGAGTCGGGTGAACTGTGTTTAATAACAGCGCTGACGTTGCGTTTTACCCCTCAGCTCGGTCAGGATGTCGATCTTCTGGTCCAGGATTTGCTCCAGCTGGGTTGCATAAGACTCCACGTCGTAGTCCACCTCCTCCGTCATCTCTAGAAGAACCTTCTCGTCCTCCAGCCAGCGGATCGACTCCTGGCAACAGCAAACTGCACTGTGATGCTCTGCTGACATCTACAGGTCAGACTCAGTAATTACATGAAAATCCTAACATTTATCCTCTATTTTTCCCCCTACAGAAAAACATCAAAACTCTTGAAGCCTGCACTGCCGTACCTGGAACACGGCCCGGTGGTCCTCCAGCACCTGCTCCTCCATCTCCACCAGCTGAGACACGACTTCATGGAAGGTGAAGAGCTGTGGAGAAACCTCCTCCTCCTAAAAACAAGCAGGAGACAGAGACCTTTCTGTCTCACATGAAATCATTTTGGTCATTCTGACCGACATAAACTCTGATTTAACTTCAGACTGTGAGAAAAAAAAGTGTGTGTCTTTTTATTTGGTGTATAAAAATATCTGGTCTCAACTGTAAATAACGTTTTTGCATCTCATTACAAAACTGTGCAGTTTGAGTATCCGGCACTTTCAAGGACTTTACCCAGAAATCAAGCACTTCCCAAACCTTGAAAACACCAAATTGAAATTCAAGCATTTTCAAAAACAAAGAAGTATAAAATCACACAGATGAACGAGGAATGAAAACATATTTTTGTACCACAATAATCTTAACTTGCTCGAAAAGAATTAAGATTATGAACTCCTACCCCATAAACTCATACTATATTTTCAGATGGACCCTCATTAATAAACCAAATAATAAATAAATAAATAGAATAAATTAATGAAAATCTTACAAAACTTTTTCCAGGAAAGAGGAAAGAAATGAACAAAACATAACGTGAAGCACTACGAATACTTTCCAGATGCATCGTGTGTTTGATCATATAGACTTTAATGTTACTGTATTGTGTTTTTATAAATAAAGTTATATATACACCGGTGGCTGTGTTTGCCAGAATTTTATTTATACTGTAAAATTCTGGCCACCACAGTTTGATGTTTTTTTTTTTTTTTTACAGTGTGTAATCTGAAGTGATTAAAAGTCTGAATATGAATCTACTTGGTGATCTGCGGTATTTTCCTCATGCTTCAGAGCCAAAGACTTTTACTTTTAATTACTGTCTCTACTTTCTTGGTTTCTTCTTCTTCTTCTTCTGTGGTTTGTGACGTTTTGCTTACGTTCTGTTCGCAGAGCAGCTTGAGGTCGTCTCTCTGCGGGGAGCTGCCGACCCCCCACTGGGCCTCCAGGACCTCCAGCTGGGTGATGTGCCCCTCCTGGTGGCAGTCCAGAGCTGCTGCAGGGTCCACCACCAGCTGCTTCATCCTGACAACACATCACAGCTTACAGAGGCGTCAGGAGGAAGAGGAGGGGCTTCAAGGCACAAGTTAAGAGGCGAGATCTTGAAATAAATCAGTTAAATCACTTTAGTAATAACATAACGCAAGTTTAAAACAGATTTGACTTTTTTCCCCCATTCTTTTGAATTAAGAGACCAAAAGAAGCGTCTCAGTAACTATAGCTGATCTGCAACGATTTGACTGAGATAGCTAAACAGAAAATCATGCCGCACTTTTCAGATTTAGCTCCATTTCCAGCCAGCTCTATCACCACCATGTTTCACTAACAGGATCTTGTCGTTACTTTAGTGTTAGTGAAAGCATCTTCTTTCACAAAAAAATGTCTCTAAATAAAAAAAACATTACAGTTTGACAAAAAAGCCAAAAGGAGCAAGAACACGTTGTCAAGGCGATTTGGTAAATCACTGACATTTCAACATTTTGGACGGCTTTGAATCACATTCAGCTAACGGTCACTAAACACATCATTTATGAGTAGTTTCGGTCTCTTTTACTGTGTTTAAAAGTGGAAGGAAAATATAAAATCTGGTTAGAATTAGTGAAAAAAGAAGCAACTAGCAGCTTGTAAATGGCAGATCCTTTGTTTCGGACATTTGTCTCCAAGGTAACAACCATAGAAACTATTAGACATCACAGCGTGGCTGATTCTCTCCACAGTGAACCAGTTTTATTGCCACTTTGAGTTGTTTTCTTGATGTCTTAAATAACAATAGCAGCCTGTTCAGATGTGTGACCATGAAGGCATCATGTCTACCCTGCTTCCCTTGGAGAGAGAAGACAGATGAATGTTTCTTTGGGGGAAATGTTTTGCGTGACGTAAATGGGTGCAGCGATCGTACTCATAAGTGGGTGAGAGCTCCAAGCGGCCGCCTCCGCCTCCTCCCTGAGAGAAGGGGATGTCTGACGGACTGATGCCAAACTCCTTCACCCTGCAGACAGAAGAGGCAGAGGAGAGAGGAGGATCATGTTCAGGTCAGACATATTTAGTTTGTTTACAGCCTCAAACTGTTGCATTAAATAATAAGCAGAGCAGCCATATTGACAGCAGATGTTCAGTATTTGAGGCTGCGGACAGACAGACAGACGGCAGCTGGTTGTGAATGTGCCTCTTCATGCTCTCTTATTAATATTTCTCTTATTATCTTTAATCTGTATTTTTAATTTTGTAAAAATAAAATAAAATAAAATAAGTTTAATATTGACAGAAATTGTTGTGGAAAATTGTTTTGTTTGCCAGATTTTTTATTATTTTGCAATAAATTATTTTCATTTTGGTTTTGATACGCCAAAATGTCCACATAACTTTATACTCTGATCTGTCTATTGATGTCATTTCCCAGCTACTTTCTCTTGAGTAAAAATATGAACTAGTGCTACTTTTACTCAAGTCTAATTTTTGGCTGCTCCACCCTCCTCTGCTAGTTTCTTAAAAATCATAAAAACATTTGAAATGAATGTCTTCTAATCAAAGGAAACTTATTTTACCTGTTGGCATATCTCAGAGTATTTAATGTGTTTTCACAGGAGGCCATCCCAGGAGAAATGGTTGCTATCTGGAGACAGAGAATCATGATGATGCTATGGGTGTTTACAGCAGCGGGTGCAGTGTCCTTTGCTCCTGATGTCTCACCATGCATGTTCTTGAATTTTCTCCAATGAAGGAGTCTCTGAGGACTTGGGTCAGCTTGCTGGCTCTGAACGGAGTGTGAGGTTTGTTCCTGCCCAGGGCGCGGATGCATTCCTACAGCAGGAGGCCAGCAAACCCAAATTCACTCAAAATGATTGTAACTATACAGACTGAAGAAGAACAAAGTAAGCCTGGCATGCTGGTGACTCTCTGCTCCAGTTTACATATTGTCTCTTTTTTAATTCCCCGTTAGCTTAGATTTATTTTTACACGTTCATGTTGTTTAATTAATTACACAGGTTTTAACATTTTATAAAAATGTAACACAATTCATTGCTTTTTTGTTGTTGTTGTTTTTACATAAAAAGGTTCCGGTCAGAACCTTTGTATTAGCCCGTTTCTGGTACGCCTGTAAATCTGACGCACAAGCAACAAATCTCGGCTCATTGAAGGTTCATTTCTGCTTCAAAAAGCGATCTGATTGGACGTAGGAAAACACTATTGTCATGCTGAAGCTCTGCTCCTTACTAAAACATCACTGTTCATATTAAACTGCCCCTGTCCTCCGCAGAGACATAAACCCAATACTAATGTAATTAAAAATGTTTCTATTTAATATAGATCCTGCTGATGCTGCAGCATTTACAGTAAAT